GGTTGTGTGGTGGTTTGGTTGTGGTGGTGGTGGGTTGAGGTGGTGGTGGTGGTGGTATTGGTGGTATTGGTGGTGCTGGTGGTAGTGGTGGTGGCGTGGTGGTTTGTGGTGGCGGCGGTGCTGCTGGTAGCGGTGCTGGTGGTGGGTGATGGGTGGTGGTGGTGGTAGTGGTGGTGGTTGTGGCGGTGGTGGTGTGGTTTGTGGTGGTGGTGGGTTGTGGTGATGGTTGTGGTGGTGGCGGTGGTGGTGATGGTGCTGGTAATGTTGTGGTGATCTTTGGTGGTGGTGGTGGTTGCGGTGGTGTTTGTGGTGGGTTGTGGTGGTGCTGGTGGTGGTGGTGTTTTCGGTGGTGGTTGTGTAATGGTTTGTGGTGATAGTGGTGGGTTGTGGTGGTGGTGGTGGATTGTGGTGGTTGTGGTGGTTGTGGCGGTGGTTTTGTGGTTTGTGGTGATGGTGGTGGTGGTGGTGGTCTTGGTGTTCTGGCCTTCGGCTCTTCCCGCTACCGTGTTCTGGCTTTGGATCAGAGTTCTAATGGCTGCTTCTTGAGGTCTCGTCAGAAGGGTGGCGGGGGCGTCTGAGGAGCATTTGTGAAGCCTCTTGGACCTTCCTAAGGGCCTCTCGGTGGCTTCTGGGGGGCGAGGGCTCGATATGGCGACTTGTGTGTTCCCTCTGCTGCCTCTGGGCCCTCTCTGGTAATCATCGATGCGTCCCCGCCGTCGGCGCTGCTGGCCGCCGCCAGCGCTGGCGCCGGTGCCAGCACGGGGGGGGTTTTGGAACCCCCCACCCTCCCCCCTTCTTGGGCTCTCTCTGGTCATCGTCGATGCGTCCCCGCCGTCAGCGCTGCTGGCGGCCGCCAGCGCCGGCGCGGGCGCCAGCGCCAAGGGGGGGGGCTGGCTCCCCCCCCCCCCTTGGGAGGGGGGGAAGGTTCGGCAGGGGGGGGGTCGGGGGGAGGGGAGTCCCCCTGATTCTGATCGACGGCGCCAAGTGTTGCGTGGGGGCCCCCCCCCCGGTTCGAAACGCGCCGCCGAACGTTCCAAAGGCATGCGCCCGTGAAACGCGCTCTCTCGCAAACGCAGCACTCTCCAATAAACCACACACTGAAGATCGCCATGCCCTCAACCGTTCGCATGAATCAAACCGTGTACGCACCTCCTCCCCATCCTCCTTCTGATCCACCCCACAACACTTGGACCACCTATACCTCCACCTCCTCGCTCCCCCTCCTTTACAGTTGGCCGGGCTCCATGTTCCAGGCTTGTAGCGTTCGTAAAACGTTCCCCCTCCTCCTCCTCCTCCTCCTCCTCCTCCTCCTCCTCCTCCTCCTCCTCCTCCTCCTCCTCCTCCTCCTCCTCCGCGTTCCTCCTGCTGCTCCCCCTGAGCGCCTGGAGCTGCACAAATCCTGCGCCGACCTGTGCCGATGATGTTCCTGGCATGTGCGCGACGAAAACACGTACCTGGTTGTGTCCTCCTCGCCCCACCAGTGCCGCACACATGCCGAGCACACTATATTTGCACAGCTCCAGGCGCACAGAGGGAGAAGCAGGAGGAGGAGGAGGAGGAGGCAAAGCAAGGGAGGACGAGCGGAGCGGAGGGAGGGAAGGAAGGAGCAGGAGGGGGAAGAGGATAAAAGGGGGAGGGAGAGGAGGGAGCAGGAGGGGGGCGAGGAGAAGGGGCGAAGGGAAGGAGGAGCGAGGAGCGAGCTGGCTGCACTCGCGCCACATCTGACGTCCTATCCCGCCCTCCCGTCCCTCCCCACGGTGCTGGTGGCTGCTCTTTTGGCGGACGCGTCTCGCCGACCTGGAGCTCCCCCCCCCAAAAAAAGCAGACCGTGCGATGCGCAGTCGGAAGAGGGAGCTGCGCAATGCGGGATGACGATTAGGAAAAAATGGAAAGAGAACGATTAAAAAAATAGGTTTCTGCTATGTCTGCCTAATTTTCTGACTGGAGGAGAACGATTAAAAAAATAGTTTTCCAGCCCGCGGCCAGTTTTTTCTAGTCGTCATCCCGGGCGCCGCCGCGTGAACACGACCCCCGGACATTTATTAATCGTCATCCTCCATTACATGGAAGGAACAGGTGGCGGGTGAGCAGGAGGATAAGCGGGAGGATCAGGAAGGAGGAGGACGAGGACGAAGAGCAGCAGCAGGAACTCGAGTGGAAGGAGCGGGAGGAGCAGGAGGACGAGGGGAAGGCGGAAGAGGGGAACTGAGGGGGCGACAACGAGGAAAAAGGACTCGGATCCAGACAACTGACCCGCACTGGAACGAGAGCACCAAACTGAACAACGGGAGCAAAGCGCCGATCCGACAAGGACACCCACGCTGAAGCGGGAGCACGGTTTGAAACACCAATACACAATACAATAGGATTGTTAAAACAATCAGAAAGTACTTGTTTGAATTAAACCCTGTGCGTTGAAAGCAGTACTTGGAGAGGGCCAGGCATCTTCCAAAAGTAGTCAGGGGAGAGAGCAGAGGGGTATTCATAGCGTGTGAAGTTTGAGGAGGAGGAGGAGGAGGAGGAGGAGGAGGAGGAGGAGAGAGAGAGAGAGAGGAGAGAAGGAAGAGCAGAATGAGGAGAAGGGATGAGGAGGGACAAGGAGTTGGGATGAGAAGCGAGGAGGGAGCATGAGGATTCTAGTGAAGAGGACGAGGAGGACGACGACGTAGGAGGAGAAAGAGAAAGGAGGAGCGAGGCCCGAAAATGAACTCGAGTTAAACACTCAATGCATATAAGCCGGCACATGCCGCGCATGTGTAAGCACATGCACACGGCGACAAATTGCTGCACGCCCGTGGAAACAGTGGTCGCACATGCCGGGCACATGCCACACTCTCACCCGCACGTGCGCGCACAGGCCGAATCAAAAACGCCCGCGCATGCCCTGGATCGGGAGACTAGGAACGAGCTCGCGCAAGAGCGTGTCACGTGGGCGCCCCTCGAGGAACCGCCGAGCCGCCCTCTGTCAACCCGTGCAGTTATGCCAGAACCTGTTACGACGAGTGCACGCGGCGCCAAGGCAAGAGCCCCGTTCTGAACAAGGAACCGCCCTACCCGCGTGGGTGTCCGAGAATCTGCCCCGTGCGTGCCCAGAAGGCGAGAGTGTGCGCGGCGCAGAGGTGAGCCCCACTTTGAAAAGCACCACCCTCCATCCGTGTTCGCTGGGCGTGTTCAAGACGGGCGTGCGCAGCGCCAAAGCGCGAGGCCAACGCTGAAACTGAATCGCCCTCCGTCCGTGAAAGTGTTGGAACATGTCGAGCTTCAGGGGCGTCAGCGGTGAGGAAACCTCGAACGATACGTCCGGCCCGTCCTAACCGCACGTCTGGTGGTGTGACAGGGGGGAGCTGTTCATGCGTGAAAAAATTGCTGCAAACAGGAATCGAAATGGTGAACGATAAATGAGGAAGGTGGGGGGGGTCGGTGGGGGAGGAGGAGGAGGAGAAGGAGGAGGAGGAGGAGGAGGAGGAGGGGGAGGAGGAGGAGGAGGAGGAGGAGGGAGAAGGAGGAGAAGGAGGAAGGGGAGAGACTGGTAGGGGGAGAGGGGAGGACGAGGAGGAGGCAGATGGGGGGTGGGGTGGGGGGCAGGAGGGCGAAGGAGGGGAAGACCGAGGAAGTGAAGGGGCATGGGAGGAGGAGGGCATATCGAATCACCTCCTCGGTTGGCACGCCCTCGTTCGCCTCCTCGTCGTTCTTATCCTGCAGATACTCCTCCTGTTGAGCCTTCCGCTCCTCCCCAGTGCGCCATCCTCATCATGCACCACCCCATCCACCTAGATGATGATGACGATGATGATGATGATCATGGTGATGATGACGACAATGATGCTGATGATGATGATGATGATGATGATGATGATGATGATGATGATGATGATGGTGATGGCGATGGCGATGGTGATGGTGATGGTGATGGTGATGGTGGTGGTGATGGTGATGATGAGGAGGATGCAAATGCTGAGACTGATGCTGATGCTGATGCTGATGCAGATGGTGATGACGATGGCGATGATGATGCTGATGATGATGATGAGTATGATGATGATGATGATGATGATGATGATGATGATGATGATGGTGATGATGATGATGATTATGATGATGCTGATGACGACGATGAGGATGATAATGGTGATGATGATGAGAGTGATGATGATGATGATGACGATGATGCTGGTGATGCTGATGATGCTGATGATGCTGATGATGATGCTGATGATGATGATCGTGATGATGATGGTGGTGATGATGATGGTGGTGGTGATAATGGAGGGGCAGGGTCTGGGGGAAGGGGTGAGGGGGAGGAGTGAGGATCAAATGAGGAGAGAGACAGACAGGAAGAAACACTTGAGGGAGGAAGTAAGAGAAGCATGCGGGAGAAGGGCGGTGAAAAAATTGGAAGCGACGCTCCTTCGAAATTATCGTTCCACCCACTCTGCACACGTCGTCTGCCCTCGTCGTCGTTGCGACCGCGGGACTGCAAAAAAAACACTAGCAAGAGTTGGGAGATTACAGCCGGAAGGCGAGCAATACTCTCAAACCAAAGCTCCCAGGAAACGTCAAGTCCACCTGTCGAGCTGAAAGACTCATGCAAGATCAAGGGTCCCTGGTGGGACGTATCCCGTAGTATCCAGAAATCACCAGAGGCTTCCAGTGGCCTCCTGAGACGCCACCCCCAAAAGGTCCAATGGACGTCTAGAAACCCTCGAACCTCGAACTTCCTCGATCCTACGCGGCAAAGGTGACGGTGGCGACGACGATGACGACGACGACTACAACGACGACGACGACGACGACGACGACGACGACGAGGACGACGACGACGACGACGACGACGACGACGACGACGACGACGACGACGACGACGACGGCGCGGCGGCGGCGGCGGCGGCGGCGGCGGCGACGGCGACGGCGACGGCGACGGCGACGACGACGACGACGACGACGATGGCGGCGACAACGACGGCGACAACGACGACGGCGACGACAACGGCGGTATCTTCCTCCACGAAATTCTCCAGAATGAGGACGTGCTCGTCGGAGGCGGAAGGGCCCATGTTGATGGTGATCGTCTGCGCAGGGCGCCGCCCCGCGGACGCATCGCTTCAGACTTCGGCCCGCCGAGGAGAGAAAGCCGACGACGGCTGGGGAGAAGAAGGAGCATCATAAGGTGCCAGCTATTGGCGTGCGTTCTTGGGGTACTTTTTGAGGGCATTTGGGTAAGGATCCCTTGGATCAGAAATCCGGGGCCTGGAAGCCAGTGGAACACCAATTTCGGGGAGACGTAAGACTCGGGTACAGGGGACGCGGGTTGGCCTGACGGGGTCCATCATAAAAATGACGAGACGCAATCTGAAATTTGACGCGAGCTCCCACTGCAAACATCCCACGAAAACTGGACCGTCAAAATCCAGGACGCGCTCGTCAAAAAACGTCGGCAAACCCGAGCTCTGGCTTACCCGAGTCTTACGTTCCCCCGACAATTAAGGGTTGGCCATGTATGCCACCGTCGCCCTCACTAGATCAGGGATCCTCCAGGGTCTGAGGACTCCCGGGCGCATTCCTGAATGACCGCCCCAACGCATGCCGTTATCATTTGCGCTGCTAGCACACCTTTGGGGGTCGAGGAGACCTCGAGGGGGATTCCCAGGAGAGGACTCGAGGCAGGGGTGGTGGTAAGCGTC